AAAAAAAAAAAAAATTATCAAATATAAATATACCAAAAAGCCTGTTAACCCTGCCCTATAGAAAAACTAAAGAAGATGGTGCCTGTGGCTCAGGGGATAAAGTGCCAGCCCCATATACTGAGGGTGGCAGGTTTGAACCTGGGCCTGGCCAAACTGCAACAAAATAATATTTGGCCATTGTGGCAGGCACCTGTAGTCCCAGCTCCTCGGGAGGCTGAGGCAAGAGTATCACTGTTATGGACCAATGTAAAAAAAAAGAGAGAATCACCTGAACCCAAGAGTTTGAGGTTACTGTGAGCTGTGATGCCACGGTACTCTACCAAGGGCAACAGGGTGAGACTCTGTCTCAAAAAAAAGAAAAAAGAAAAACTAAAGAAAATATTAGTTATAAGACTCTACAAGGATGATTTAGTGTGAGTGCAGACCCCCCTTCAAAGGATATGTTCATCCGGAGCCTGTGATGTGACCTTATTTCGACAAAGTTATCATTGCAGATGTAATTCAATTAAGGATCTTTTTTTTTTTAGCACAGCTCACAGAAACCTCCAATGCCTGGGCTTAGGTGATTCTCTTGCCTCAGCCTCCCCAGTAGCTGGGACTACAGGAGCCCGCCACAATGCCCAGCTATTTTTTGTTACAGTTCGGCCAGGGCCAGGTTTGAACCCACCATCTTCAGTATATGGGACTGGCACCCTTCCCAGCGAGCCACAGGCACTGCCTGGATTTCTATTTTTTTTTCAAGACAGAGTCTCAAGCTGTCACCCTAAGTAGAGTGCTGTCACGTCATAGCTCACAGCAACCTCCAACTTGGGCTCAAGCAATCCTCTTGCCTCAGTTTTTCTGTTTTTATTTTATTATTATTTTGGGGGGGGGCAGTTTTTGGCCAGAACTGGGTTTGAACCTACCACCTCCAGCATATGGGGTCGGCGCCCTACTCCTTTGAGCCACAGCGCCACCCCCATTTTGTTATTTTTTTACTTTTCGACAGAGTCTCACTTTGTCGGACTCAATAGAGTGCTGTGGCATCATAGCTCACAGCAACCTCCAAATCTTGGGCTCGAGTGATTCTCTTCCCTCAGCCTCCCTAGTAGCTGGGACTACAAGGTACCTGCAACACCACCTATATTTTTTGTTTTTTTGAGACAGAGTTTCATTGTGTCACCCTTAGTAAAGTACCATGGCATCATGACTCACAGCAACCTCAAACTCTTGGTCTCAAGTGGTTCTTTTGCCTCAGCCTCCCGAGTAGCTGGGACTACAGGTGCCCACCACAATGCCTGGCTAGTTTTAGAGGCAGGGTCTCGCTGTTGATCAGGCTGGTCTGGAACCTGTGAGCTCAGGGCAATCTACCTGCCTCAGCCTCCCAGAGTGCTAGGATTACAGATGTGAACCAGTGTGCGCAGCCCCAGCTATTTTTTTTTTTTTTTTGAGACAGAGCCTCAAGCTGTCACCCTGGGTAGAGTGTTGTGGCATCACAGCTCACAGTAACC